AAAACCTTATGGTACAATCCGTACGCGCGCCACTGAGTAACTTACAAAGTCAATTTTTTTCCTGTAACTAGGGGATTATCAAATTAAGCTAAGGCTAAAATTTCGTTCCATTATCTTATAATGTTCGAAATTTATTGGAGAAAAACTAAATTTTTTGAAACTTTTTAGCGCCCTGTAGCTTGGAAAAGAAAACCCGTAGAGCATAACTTTATATGAGAAAAAATTATTTTTTAAACCAAATAATCCACCGTTTAATTTATTCCCAACCTTTACGTTACACCCAGTATATCCGCAAATCGTCAGTCCGACCAAAAATGTGCACATGTATTTATAATTTCTAATAAGGTATTTTCATGTATTAAGCATAATTCCATATATGTAAATATATAATACAGGGTGTTTCAGAAAGACCTCCCGTAAATACAGGGGGTGATAGTACGTCAAAAAATAAGAATTTATTGTCATATGAACTATATGTCTATCTCCTCTTGTTTTCGAGATACAGAGCGACAAAATAAAATTTTTTAAATAACATTTTTACGAAAATTTCCAAACGGTGCGAAATATTTTTATGAAATTTGGTAGTCCGGGGTTTTTAAAGATGCCAAATACACTGGTCTAATTATTTTTTGTATATTTCATAGAGGGCGCTAGTTATGCTACATTTTTTTACCATTCGGGCTCCAATTTCTATTGTAGGTACAATTTTATTTTCTAAAAATAATGTACTCTTGTTAGAACTTCCTAATGTGGATGATTTTCGAGAAAAAAGGCTTTTAATTAAACTCTTACAATATTACATTGTATAAAATAAGTGACTTTTCTCAAAGCTCAAGCTTACTTTGAGAAAAGTCACTTATTTTATACACCGTAACACTGTAAGAGTTCAATTAAAAACCTTTTTTCTCGAAAACCGTCCACATTAGGAAGTTCTAACAAAAGTACATTATTTTTAGAAAATAAAATTGTACAATAGAAATTGGAGCCCGAATGGTAAAAAACCTAACCTTAACAAAAAAATATAACTTAAAATGTAATAAGAATGTAGCATAACTAGCGCCCTCTACGAAATATACAGAAAATAATTAGACTAGCGTATTTGGCAGCCTTAAAAACCACGGAATACCAAATTTCATAAAAATATTTCGCACTGTGGAAATTTTCGTAAAAATTCTATATTTAAAAAAATTTATTTTGTCTCTTTGTATCTCGAAAACAAGAGAGAGACATATAGTAGACTGTATTTACCGGAGGTCTTTCTGAAACACCCTGTATATATTTTTCGTTTTATTCTTGTAATTGTAAATCTATTATGCTCAATTTAGCCAAATAAATATCGAGAAAAGAATTAAACCATTTCAAAAAAGTATGTATGGTGTAAAAAAATTATGCACAAAAGTTTGGGACTTTCTTTTAGAAAAATCGGAAAATTTTTGTAATGAAAAATAACAAACGCGAATGAAGACTTGAAACAGATTTTTATATCAAGTATAATATTATATTAATTTATTTAGAAATATTATGCACTAATTGTAAGATAAGATTAATCGTCTCAAAAATAACTTCATTTGTTTACAACTTTTAAATTTTTAAGCATAAAATAAGCAATATTATAATTATTTATTTGAAACAAATGATAATTTACATAATAATAATTAATAACCATTTATAAATATGAAATTTTTGGGGTGAAAAAATTAAATTTCATCATGATTATTGATTTATTGATTTGTGTCGGACATTAAATCGTCGGACACTTATATCACTATTTTGTACAGTAAATTTAAAAGTGGAAAAAATGAAAATTAGATATGTGGTAATCGATTTATCATACCCCGTGAAAATTCCGATTTCCAGCTGTCGGACTGAAAAAACGCGGCTTGAAATTTGTCGGACAACAATACTTTTTGACTGAATTAATTATTTACAATTAATTTTACTAAAAATTACCTATGTGGTAATTGATTTTCAATACCCTGTTATTTTGGCATGTTTCGACCGGTAGACACNCAAGAACTAATTCAGATACATACTTTGTCTGACTCAAATTTAAGCGTACAGCAATGCGTAACTGCGAAAATAAACATTGACGGAGTTGAGCGACCCCTTTCATTATATATTATAAACAAACGCGTTATGAATGTTGACATTCTTATAGGCCAGAATTTTACTGAGTTAAAGGACGTTCATTATGAGAAATTAATTGGTTTATTACGATTTAGTTCTAGGTCATTATTATGCTGCTTACCGCTGCGACAACAAATAATCGAAAGGCTTATTTTGACGCAAAGCGACCACCAGCAAATTACCAGGTGGGTTACCCGGTTCTTTTAAAAATGACTTCTTCTCCTGCTACAGGTAGTAGCCAAAAATTATTGCCAAAGTGGAGAGGTCCATACAGGGTGTCTAAAGTATTAGAACATGACAGATATGAAGTTCGAGATATTCCACGAATGTTGAGGTCACAGATTCCCTATACTGGAGTGGCCGGAGTAGTCAACATGAAACCTTGGATTCACCTTTATTATTTCTAATACTTCAGGTAACGCTAAGTAGGTACACTGAGGGGTATAGTGAGCTACTTCGATTCTCGGAGTAAGCATTGAGTAAAAGGTAAATAAAAACTTTTTATTCAATGGAGCAGGGTTTTAGACCCAGTTACTCGAGTGAGACCTCAGGGTCTGTGCCAGACGAGAATGGTTGAGGCCTGTCCCCCTCAGCGGCGAAAGGCGGTGGGGTAGTGGTTAGCTGCCCAGAATTA